CCTCAAAACACATTTGTACCATTCAAATGCCTAGCAATCTTTTCCGTTACAATGGCTACCTCTTTCACGCTGGTGAAATACATTTCAGATAGTCCTATTTCCCAAGTTCTTAAATTTTCTAGAAATAGCATAAAGTAAACACATTAGAGAAGATCCTGTTTTTATTAAGAATGCTTTGATTCAAGATGTTTCTAGTGATCTGTTTTCTTCTCTATCCAGATTCATTTCTCTAGAATATATCTTCCTACTACTTAACCCCATTTTTTTAGTGTTTCAAAACACATGAATTTAATATGAAAAATAATTATTATAAAGACTATAAATGAATTATTAATAAAAGGAGCAGATACATTCAAATAGGCCTATAGCATTTAATCTGAAAGGCCTTAATGGAAATTACTCTTACCAGTCTAATAATATTGAATTATAATGATCTCAATTTAACTGAAACAGGGACACTATCTATCATTCTTAATGGAAAGATGAGAAGCAGGGGTCAAGTGTCTTAACCAGGTGTTACATAAATGAAATACATGTGCAATGCAGAGATCTCAGAAATCATAAAATCCAAAGGGAAAAAAGTCATGAATCCTATTTTTTTAAGTTAGTTCTTTTTCATTATTGGATTGCCATTCTATGTTCAACTTTATAATTTTATATCCTGATTATCACACATAACATGATATGTTTAGCATTTTTATGTCTTTAAAATATTTTGAAGTTTCGGGCCTCCCTGGTGGCGCAGGTGGTTGAGCACAGCGCTGTGAAGCTGTCTGCAGCCTCTGCAGTACCAGTTCGATCCCTGCTGGCTGCAGAGATACCCACATGGTGCAGCAGACCTTTCCTGTCTCACCTGCTGCTCCCGCTCCCTTCAGCAGTGTATTTCAGTTAGTCTGCCTGTTCTGTTCCCCACTTTTTCTCTGGTGAATTCTCTCACCCTCCACACATCTGGCCTATACTCCAGTTCTTGTATAAATAAATAAATCTTTAATTTTTTTGAAGTTTCTAGTTATGTTGAATTCATTCAATGTATAGATTCTAATTTATAGAATTAGAAAATTCTAAATTTAGACTTTTTTGGCTATTACAAATAAACCTGTGGTGAACATCCTTATAGGTAAATTTACACATACATTTCTATAAGCTAAATTGTTAGAAACAAGATTTTGAAACCTACCAAGACAACCTACCTTAGAGGCTTAACAATGTATACTTCCCTCAAGTAATGAATGAAAATGTTTTTCTGCACCCTTATCAAACTCTCATTTTTCTCCCGGATGTTTCCTTTTTCTACTCTAAGTTTCACTATATACCAAGTCTTATCTTTACTAATCAGTCAACCAATGGTATATACCTTTATATTATATTTAAAATTTAACAAGATCGTTTGTCAATTTAGCATACTTTAAAAATCCCTCTGTCAATTTATTTTTAAAATCTTGGTACCTCTTAATTTTTCATTAGTTTGTTCTATAATTTCTAATAATTAATAATATAATTTTTGAAAGTCTGAAATACATGGAAAGGTGAGAAATTAAACATTAAAAAGTAAACAAGAAAAGTTATCCAAAAATTCCCAGATTTTGAGCACCCTTTCAGGATTTCTATCAAGAAATATCTAGGTAGTTTTACCACTGCTCTTCCTTAGCAGAAAAGTGTTACCACATGCTCAATTTCACACAGCATATAAAAAAATGTTTTTATTTATATTATCATAGGATTGCAATATATTTTTAAATTTTTAGAAAATATAATCTTAAAAATCTCTCAGAAATAAATGTCTAATCTTTTGAAACATGTGAAAGGTAAATTAATGAGCTAGATTTTTGTATAACCCTTTGTATTGCTGCTCTGAACTACTAAATTGTGTGTTATTTAACTTGAAACATAATCCAGCTAATAATGTGTCATAAAGATACCCTGGTAGCATGCCAGTCACATGAAGGTACTTTCCTTTGTTTTTCTCATTTTCTAATGATGAAGTATTTCACTTGCTTACTCCAAGTACACTACGAAGTATAGTGCCATTTAATTCCTAAATTCATTTTAGTATGTATTTAGGCAACAGTATCTTGGTGATAGGTGGTGCTCAATAAACATTTGTCGAATGGAGAAGAATGAATGGAACGTACTATTAAATAGAGTGCTGTACAAAATGGCACATTATTAATAACTACATTGGAGTTCTTAGAAGTGGCTGATGCAGGAACAAATGTAAGCCTTTTATTTACAGCAAAGCCTGGGAGATGAATGGCTGGCACATTCAATGTGTGATTTATTCATACACACTAGTAGGAGATTTATAGGCATCTATTAACCTACTCGAGTTCCAATTCTATCTTAGGCTGGTCTTTTGTCATGATTAGCTATGTTGTGACTCTATGTTAAATAACAGGTTGTCTGCGCTGAAATATGCAAGAAATATGAAGACAGAAGGTCAAAATTACACTTTTACATCGTGCCAGTTAAACCACATATATAGCTCTGCTTCTTTATGTTCCAGAAATTAGGCATGTACACATGTACCAAATAAGAGATTTTTTTGTGCACCTGAGATTCATTGTTACAGATCAAATTACGTCTCCCAAGTAATTCATATGCTGACATCCCATCCTACAATAGTTCTGAATATGACCACATTTGGAGTATGGGTCTTTAAAGATATAATTAAATTATAAAATATGGAGATTAGCGTGGACCCTGACTTGATGTGACTGAGGTCCTTCTACAAAGAGGATATTTGGATACATATCTACAGAAACGGGAACACGCGACGAAACAGGGAACAGATAGCCATCTATAAGCCGAGAATAGAGGCCTGAAAGAAATCCTCCCATTAGGCTCTCAGAAGGCAACAACACTGCCCACACATTGATCTCAGACTTCTAGTCTCTAGAACTGTGAGAAAATGTATTTATGCTATTAAACCACCCAACATACAGTACTTTGTTGTAGCAGCCCTAGCAAACAAATCAGTGCAATAACTAAGAGAGAAAACAGTGAGGCTTACACCAAGAGAAAAGGATCATTTTACTCTTTTCAACTTGTCATCTTTGGAAAAGATGAATCATACCAGCCTGCATACCATGGGGGAGCGGGGAGCGGGTTGATCTGATGCTTTACTCTAGAAAGTTTGCTTTTTTTTAGGGCAAAACATCATCAAGTTCATTGTTTCAAGTGAAACTTTTTTTTTTTAAGATTTATTTATTTATGCATACAAGAGCTGGTGCACAGGCCAGAGGTGTGGGGTGAGAGGATTCACCAGAGACAGAGTGGGGAACAGAACAGGCATACTGACTGAAATACACTGCTGAGGGGAGCAGCGGGCAAGACAGGAGAGGTCTGCTGCGTCATGTGGGTTTCTCTCTGGCCGGCCGAGGATCGAACTTGTGCTGCAGAAGCTGCGGATTGCTTAATAGTATGGTGCTTAACCCCTTGAGCCACCAGGGAGGCACTTAAGTGAAACTTCTGAGTCATTCCTTCATCAATTTATCAGGATTATAAATTTAACACTGATGGCATTGCCCATTTCCACAAGATAATCCCACTGGATTGGCGAAGACAACTTTCACATGTGCTTGAAGCTTAAATGCACTTTAAGCTTTGAAAAGGTAAGTCACTTTTGGCTTTTCCCTCAAGGTCTTAAAGTCACTTGTGTGCTTTCTACCTGTGTCCATGTTAACTCAAAAACATAGCGAGAGAAGAAGAATTTGGAAAGGAACAACCCTCACACTCCTTCCGCCCCCCACCCAGATTCACAGAAGACAGAGGCAGGATGTCAATTTTGTAGATGAAATAAACCTAATGGCACCGCCCAAGGAACATGAAAACCACCATTTCAAGCGGAAGAGGAGATCACATTTCATTATCCTTTGACAGGATATACTGTACTTCTGCCAAACCTGTGCCTTCACCCACTGTGTCCACTAACCCACCCTCCCTGTGAACAGACACTGGTTCATAGAGTCAGGTATGAATTGCTGACATGTTGCAAGTTCATGACATTTCTCCACACCAGCTTAATAAAACAACATAGAAGAAAGTTTTATAATAGCAGTGGAGAGAAAAAAAAGTCATAATTTTCCCTGTTTCATGATTCACAATAATTAATTTAATAACTGTGTCATATGAGACGAGTAAATAAAGAGAAGGAAAGGAGTGTGGATAAAGAAGATCACTGAAGCATACACAATTGCAAGGAAAAACAAATTACCAGGGTAGTGCTGGAAATAAAAGCTTAGTGGAAAATATTTTTCTGATGCTAATTTGATTCTTCTATGGAGACTTAAAGCTGCAGTGTCCATAAGTATACTATTTATCTCCGCTTGTTTTTATTTTTAGCTGTTATGTAACCTTATGTCTCCAAAAACCAATTAAACACCTTTCTGATCTCCACTGGGAATTTTCCCTAAGTAGTTCTCTATCTCAACTATAACAGGACTATGATTTCATTTACAACATCTTGCTGGAGAGGGTTTCATCATCAGAGGTGTTTAAAAAAAACATTAAATTAATAAACGAGGGCAGAATAAAAATAAAATGCAGTCTGGACACAGTTATAGTCTCTAGGGTTTGGTTCACAATATTCAGAACATTCACAACATTCAGACTCTAGATCTTAGATGAACAGTTTGTGTTGTTATGTCACGGTCTGTAGATACACGAGAAGGAAAAATTTGAGTCCCAGAATAAAGCGTCTAAGTCCCATACCATAAGTATACACTCCTAATGTTAGTAAAAATAATTATTTCTATTCAATTGGTAGATATAAAAGTCAATCTTCCTTTACTTGATTAGGATAAAATTTAAACCTTGACTACTTGAATTCAGGTTTGTGCTCCTCATATACTAAATTTTATCCTTCTCCATATTAGACTCTTGATTCTGTCATTCAAACAGTTGGATTGTATTCATCACAGGCATTGTACACCTAGAGCTCAAAGCTGACCTCAACCTCCCTGAAAACCTGGCCTTAAGTGCCAGTCACCACAGTCACTTACCGACAGTGTTTATGGGACCCCGTCAGGGTTTCGATCACAAAGCACTCGCCGTCATTGAGACAGTATGCCAGGTCCTTGTCTCGGCAGGGTTTGAAGTGCTCAGATCGCTCAGTGGAATATGTCGTGGTATCTGCCAATGGAAGCACACAGAGAAGGGCGGTCAGCACTTCATTCTGATACCAGCAGCCCCTGCAGTTGGCCAGAATCTGTGCATGGAGGTATTCCCATGGGCACTGACCTCGGGGAATCTAGGCAGACAGGATAGGTCCTCCCTGGTACTGACCAAGCACAACTGGATAAGTTCACTAATAAAGGCTGAAAGCTTGTATCCCTTCTCCCTCCCCCAAATTCACAGATTAAAACTTAATCCCCAAAGAGATGGTGTTAGAAGACTGGGCTTTGGAGATTAGGTCATGAATGAGATTAGTGCCCTTATGAAAGAGACCCCAGAGGGCTCCTGCACCCATTTGGGTCATGTGACTGAACAGCAAGAAAACCCTCTACGAACCAGGAACCCTCAGCAGGCACTGAATCTGCAAGTACCTGGTATTAAACTTTCCAACTTCAATAACTGTGAAAAATAAATTTCCGGATTTTGCTTTTTTCCCCCAGGGTGAGGGAAGGAGTTTGTTTATATATTTATTTTCAATTGAGGTAATGTTAGGATAACCACTGCCACCATAGTGTGCCCACCAACAAACCACTCATTGTCCACCGCCATAGTCCTCTGTGCTTCCTTCCCTCCTTGTTCTCATCCCTTGCTCACCTCTCACGCCTCTCTGGATGCTTCAGTTGTATAGTCACTTTCAAGGGTTAGTTTTTAAATTTGCCCTATCTGACCCATAATTTGGTTTCTCTATATTCTACCTATCAGTGACACCATCTGATATTTGCCTTTCTCCTTCTGACTTATTTCACACTACATCATTCCTCCCGGCTCCATCCATGTTGCTTCCAATGGCACGAGTTTGTCTTTCGTTAATGCTGATACCCAGTCTATGGGATTTTGTTCTAGTAGTCCAGGCACTAAGACAACAACCACTATATTCAATTGTCTTATTTCTCCACCAGACTATAATAATTGGAATCACTCCAGAGAAGCCCATTTGAGGACACATCAACAGAAAACACTAAATGATCCTGCCATCAAATACTCAAATCAGTTTTTATTAATTTAAGTTTTAACAAACATGTTGTATATGAAGAATTGAGATAGCATTTTCCTTTTATTGTTGCCAAATGTCATCAAACATCTGATCAATGTATGTTGTGACTGTTTTGTGGAAAACAATCTCAGTTTTTTGTTTTTTTTGTTTTTTAGTTACAGCTGTAATTCACTAATAGCTAGGCCAATTATTCTTTCACTTTCTCCTTTTATTATGTAATTAAAATGCAAATGTTCCAAATTCTGAGACAGAATATCAAATGTGAAGAATGTTTCTGTTAAATATTTAACTGGACCAAATTATTTAACTGGATTCAATTGTCATCTTTTAGCATTATCTCAAGCATATATTTTTAGGATTATAATTACTGATTTTTTTAATTAAGCTATTTATCTACATCTGTTTCCTACATATGAAATTAATGATAAATATATACTATTTACTGGACACAGACTATAACCACATGTGACATTTTTTCTATTTCAGAGTTCGAAAACATTTAAATATTAGCACCCATTCCTCTGTGAAATTGAAGAAAAAATATATTTAAGAAGTCAAAAGTTAATTAAAAAAACTCAGCTCTTTTAATGTCATTTTCATAGATCTAGATTAATAATAATGTTCAACAGCATAGGCTTCTGTACTAGCTTAGTGACAGGAGGTCACAATGAGCCTCTTCCTCTTCATCATTCAGACTGAGCAGAGGGTGTATTAAAGGAAATCCTCTTGTGTCCTTCTCACATTTAAAATCCTCAGTGGGCCCCCTTTCCATAGGAATAGCTCCAAATTCCTTAACAGAGCAAAGATGAAACAGCTGGATATTTGCCTTTCTAGTCTCACCTGGAACCCTAAAATAAGAGTCATAATTTCCAACTGAGATTCGATTTCTCTAAAAACCAGGAATTGTCACACTGTTTACTCCTCCTAGACTACATTTTTTCTTTGCTGGAAGACATACAGAAATCCTTCAGAGCTTATCACTATATTCCCCTCATCCGTCCCCCATCACCTTTTATCATCCATATTGCTGTTTTCAGTACATTCACTGCCTGCAAATAACTATTTGTTAAAATGTCCATCCATTTATCCATTTCTTTAATTCCTTTCCTGAGAGCTGAGTGTGTCTTAAATAGATTTGGTACTCAGTACTTCCTAAGTCTGATAACTTGAATATCACTAACAATGTAAATGTCATTGATAAAAGGTACATTCATTAAATATTACAATTGCACTGTAATCATATAAAAGTTAAAGCACATCTAGCAACACACATTTAGATACAATTTCACATTCATGTTATCAGTTAGTATACCCATTCTAATACAGATGAATTTGTAAGACAAATATTGCTTTCATATTCATATAGGTCCTAATTCACATGCTACTGAAATACATCAATCTCCTCTTTCTTGGTGGTACAATGGAAACTTTTTTTTCCATTTCAAAATAGCTTCCTGTTAATACTTTGGCATGACATAAATGATCTGCTAAACAGGCATATTTTCAATTTTCCAGGATCTCCTCTACTGGAAAGATTTGTTATCCAAGACACTTTGTAAATAGTTACTTTCTTTTTATGGGAAATATTTAAAATTCAAGAGCTCTGAGCAAGAAATTCAATATGAGACCCCACACAGTTGACTGCTACTCTGACTGCTGCGTGATATGAACTCATGACCAGTTAAAGTTTCCTTTAATTTCTTATTATTCATTTTTCGTATTCACTGATCATTCCTCTAAGAACAGCTTGTCATTAGCTTAACCTAAGCATAAAAAGTGAGATCCTCATTTCATTATCAGTGATTTTAACAAGCTACAGACTCTAAGAGCAATACAATGGCAAAGCAGTTACAACCAATTAGTTTCTATCTGACAAGGATTGTCTCTGGTGGTTACCATCCCATTCTATCAACTTTTCTCCCCACCAACTTATCATCTCTCAGCACATTACCGGGGATAAGAGTTCCGTGTCAGTGCAGTGCATCTGCAGAAATCCGAGGTGGAAGAGTACAAAATGTCAGGTTAAACATGTACTCATATTTTCTATTTCCATAGCTTAGAAAATCCAAAAATTCACTTAAAATGTCTATGCTTATTCCTCAAAATTACTTGACTGAATTCAAAGAGATATTATTAAATATTTTAAAATAATAAACAATGATATCATATTAAGTTCATTAATTCTACAGATAAACTGTAATTATTAATAAATTTGAAATCTTATAATTTTCCTAAGTATATCCTACATAATATCCATATAACACTATTTACCTAAAATCACAAAGGCATTGGGCAAAGTAAATAAAATTAGGCATGATGTGAAATTTTACATTTGTAACACATTATGCCAAATGTGTGGATAAAAAGATAGAAAAGTTACTTAATGGAACCACTGGGCTGTTCTACTAACTCTAAGACTAAAAGTATACTGCATCTAAGTCACTGTTACTCAGGCTTTCTATTACTTACAACCAAATACAGCCAACAAAGAGATAGTAATATCCTCTAATATTTGTATATCTGCCTATAAGAACATTCACATATTTAAACATATGAGATGCATTATAAATTATAAAAAAACAGAACAAACATTACATGGATAAAAGTAAAACAGAATATAATTCGTTATTTTCCTTCTTGCCCTAAGGTAACAAAGCTTGCTCTGATATTATATTCATCTGAGGACATGGGACATTTGTGAGGGTGAGATAATAGGTAAGATCTAACTCCAAATTATCAAACAATATCCCCCAAAATGTCAGGGTACCTTAGCAATTGGATATAGAATTCTCATCTGTAAACTTGTCCAATATTATTAGAACCTATTTATATTTTTTTAAACTGCCATCACTTTAAAGATGGTCTAATACAATGTTAGTCATAGTATATGGCACTATCAATATTTTACCATGTATCATAAGTGTAACTTAATAAATAAATTTGTTATAAAGTTATATATTGTCTTTAAAAAGTCATATGGATGAAGGTCTAGATAAGTAAACCAGGAGGGTCATGATATTCCCATGAATCCCATTTGTCATTCAAGAATGCTTCATTATCAGAGAACACTCTCCATTGCATCACTTCATGAATCTCTCACCTGATTGGCCCAGGAGCTCATAGGGGTCAGAGCAAGTCCTAACATCTCCGATTTATGGTTAGATATGGACACAGAGGTGCACATGATGGCCATTTATCGAAGAGTGATCTATTTACATGGTGAACATCTGTCTGAACAGTCTGTATTGAAAAGTGTGCACACTTTTGCTACTATCAGATAAGAAAACCCTATCTTAAAAACTACTATATAGAGTATTAACACATATCTGAAGAAGGTTGATCCTAAACTGGTGAATCATGTACAGTGTTGGAAACCATTGTTACCTCAATTAAAAAAAAAAAAAGTATTATCTAGGAAATGAATAGAGGTTTAGAAGTTAAAACATGAAAAGGGTTCCAAGAGCAACTCAGGTAAAGTACATGAAGAGGTGAGAAAAATCAACTCTACAGCACTAAGGGAAAAGTTAGAAGAGAAAATATTTGAAACGAGAAGTCGTGCAGGACATAGGAACACTAGCTTTAAGATGAACAGAGGTGGTGCTTAGGAAGTGCTTTTCAAGCACCATGACCAAAAAGAAAGATCTTAGGTCAAGGAAGTGCTGTTGCTGGCCTGAGGAACAGTTCCCATTCATTTGGAGCCAACGGGACTGTGCAATTATCCAGATCACTCAGCTGGCACTTGCTATATGTAGCTTAATGTTTTCTTATATTTTTATGGGTTTTGGTCTCTATCTCCAGGGAGGTCAGAGAGAGTGCTTTTCGCTTAAGTTCTGTATTCTTTCCACTTCATGTAGCATACATAGTAAGCAATCAGTACAGTAATTAAACGCACAGTGGGAGGTCATGGTGGTTAATTCATTAAAGGCAAAATGGAAAGAAAATGTAAGACTGGAAAACAGAAATC